TTTTGGGTTTTTTAGGACAAATTAGAAGATGGGACTATAGGGGTATTAAGGGTAAGCATAATAGATCCCTTAGAATAAATATTAGAATTTTCCCCATTGTATTAACATTTTTAGCATATTTTTGTATTTGATTGGTTGTATGGTGTGCCCTTTCTAGGGTTATTGTTTGATTGTGTGGGTTATTGGGTTTGCTTGGGGTATGGGGTTGAGTTGAAGACCTTGTTGTTGAAGCCCATTGAAGACAAAAGGAGTGAAGATCAATTTCAAGAGTTGATGAAGAGTGTATCTTGCTTGCAGCTGTTGAAGATTATAGGAACTAGGAGCTAGGTAGAGCTCTAGAATAGAAACTTGATTCACAAACATGGAAGGTCTTGTTTGCCTCCATTCTTTCTCTATGATTCAAAGTCTCTTTTAAATACTCACCTCCTTCCTTTGGAAGGATTATTGAATGTATTTAAAAGATAGAACTTTTGAGAGAAAATTGTCTGTATCATGTTAACAGCCAGTAGGCCACCCTTGGTAGGCAACTGACTGCTTAACATCCAATTCATCTTGTTAACTGCTACTCATCTTGGAGAGTGGGACTTGAAGAAAAGCCATGAAAGGTTGAAGATAGAGACCTTGCTTGAAGATGAAGATTGAAGCTTGCTTGAAGTTTGTAGACGTTTTGAAGATGACTTGAAGATAGAAGATGATGGAGCTTGTTGTGCAGGGTTGCTGTTTGCTGTTTATTTTTTGCTGTTTATAAGTCTTTGATGTACTGTTTGAGTTTCCCTGACTGTATTGTTTGCCAAGTAACCTGTTAGGTTGAAGTGAAGTTATTTCACTTTGCCTGTTGTTTTCTAGGTTCGAGGTTGAATGAGACTCCCTTGCCTCGCTTGTATTGTTGCATTCATGCATATTTTACTGTTTTATTGTATCTGTTGTTTCTGTTTCCGTTTATCCCCTTAGGATCTCTGTTTCTCTCTGCGCAAGAGAGGAACATGATAGACATTAGGTCTTAACCCATGCATGACAACATTAGGGTAGTTTGATTCCATTTTAAACCATAGGTTAGAGTTCTGTCTCTTCTTTCTCAAAACAAACAGAAAAACACAATAAGATTTCAAATCCAATAAAAGGCACTTCTTCCGTAAAAGAATGTGAACCAATCAAACGTCAATTTTTGTCTGCTTGGACCAGTAATCAGAAAAACCCTTTTTCAGAAGGAGATAAAAACGATCAAGACAGACTTGTGTCGTGCGTGGCCCGAACTACGTTTGCTCTGATCTTTCATGCTGTATGAAAGTACGTAGGCATAGGATGCGATATCCTAGCGAGCAACCTTCCCCTCCTTTCCCGTAGGTAGGCGAACTACGTTGACTCTGATTTCTCGTTCCAGACGGGAATACGTAGGCATAAAGTGCGACACTTTGCCGAGTCATTTTATTTTCTTTTAACCCTAGACCTGTAGAGTAGATAGAATAACAATCCTTTCGACAGAAAACAAGCGTGGATCCCGTCGAGTACGACGGACGTGAGGGGTGCTAATACCTTCCCCTTGCGTAACCGACTCCCGAATCCAGGATTTGGTTGCGATGACCATTCCTTTCCCCGTTTTGCGGTAGGTTTACCTCGAGCGTTTCCTTTCCCCTCTTTGGGATAAATAACGCACGGTGGTGACTCTTCTGTTCAGCCGGCGCCGATTTTCGCAGTAGCGACACATACATGTTACAAACATGCATTTATGCGTATTTGATATGGCTTAAACACATTCATGTGTAGCTCGCGCACCCCCTTTAGATCTAGCCAATCCAAGGGCGTAGGCTGTGGATCATGAATATGTCCACCTCAATCCAAGCCATACCTAGAGGGTAGGGACGAAGATCTTACCCTTGGCCTCTTTAGTTATTTATCGTTCGGGTCTTTAGTGGAGTCACTATGATAAGTAGCACTAGGGACATGTGATTCTATATTCCACTGTTACATGTTGATCTAATTTGTCGATCAGAGTAGGTGAGTGGTCAACAACACGCCCACAATCTTAAACGGTCGACGGAGAAGTGGTGTACTTACAGACACTCTGATGCTTAAGTCAGTTTGGGTGAAGAGGTGAGTAAAAAAGGGAAAAAAGTAGAATACATGATCCTCCTGCAGATGGGGTTTTTTATAGTGAGTCCCCAACATGGCCAATGTTCTCCGTTGTGGGCTGAGTGTTCGGGCGTACAATGGATGACTACCAAAACTTTCACGTGAAAGTAAGGACAAACAACTCGTGCTCATCGTCCTAGTTCAACCGCTCCGCACACCCCGGATAATGGATGAACTTGCCCGTTACGAAGGGCAGAATGGTTCCACGAGGCGTGCGGGTAAGTTGGATGACGTGTCCTCGGGTGAGGGGCACGTGGGGAACGTGTTATCCACTGGCCTTAACGGGTTGGGCCAACACTCTGGGCTATCCTCGACGTAGAATTGGATTGGGTGTGCTCGACGCTGGGTCAGCCACAGGCTCAGTCCAAAACACATGTCTTATTCATTTTGTAGTTGTTGAACCAGATTGTTATTCATTTGTTGTTGAGACATTATATGTCAAGCTCTATTATTTCCGCTGCTTAAAACACGAGATTATATTTTGTTGGCTTTTATGTTTAGTGAAACATGCACGACACTTTAAGTATTTAGTTAAAATTGAATAATTTTACTAAATGTTGAGTCGGGTAATTAAGGTGTTACTAAATGTTGAATTATCTTACAATTATTTTTTAATCATAAATATTAAAGAATATAATTTTTTTTAAATATATTTTTAATATAATGTCTTTAAAATAATTTTAGATTATTCCAATTCTACGTTCTTCATCTCATGCCAGATAATAAGATTGTTGATTTTTTACATATAAGAAAATTGAGCTTATAGTTTGCTTTTTTATTTTTATAATCATATTTCAACAACGAAATCAAATAAATATTTTACAATATCATTCGTAACAAATTAAAATAATTTTTTTTATAAAAGTTATTAAATTAATTAGCATTTGAAACACTTTTATTTATCATATAACTAATGCTCGACAATATATACATAAATTTAACAAACAAAAAATTAATCTACAACCTCGCAGTTCTAGTACTTTTTATGTTCCTTTTTAATTGTTACTTTTGTGAAAATTTTATGTTTATTTTTAATTGTTTTTATAAAGTTTAAAGTAGTAATGATTATAGTTTTATCAAAATTACTCTTATCAATTTATTAGAGCATCTTTAGTGAGAGTAAACTAAATGAGTAAACTAAGATACTTTTTGTGGGTCCAGAGTGATTTGTAGGATTTGAGTTGTTTAGAGTTGATTTGAGTTGTTTTTACTTAATGATGGTTGCTTGTAAAAAAACCAAAACTTGACCCCACATTTTATAGTTGTTAGAGCTTTATTGATATTTTAATAATATAAAATAATAATAAAATAATAATCAGAATCATTGAAATTTGATAATGTGCGTTAGTTATATAGTTTACTTGCACTAATTGTTAATTCACTTACTGTCATGTCATTCTTATTCCAATGCAAATTGCTTATAACTACCGTTACTATTAAAGAATTTAATATTAAGGAACCTGCACTAAAGATGCTCTTATGGAATGAAAAAAATATATATCAAAATAATTAAAAGTTAGAGGTATTATAGACAAAACAAAAGTTATAGTTTAAAAAGAAACAATAATTATTAACTTTTTTAATATGTGTAAAAAATTAAAAGATGACAATTAAAAAGAAAGCGAGGGAATATCAATTAATTGTGGATTGTGCTAATGTATTGATTTTAAATATGAAATGCTACTGCATTTTAAGGGTGCATTAATGCTAAATATCATTTTAGCCTATTTTTGGTGGATGTTTTTGTGCTGTTATCACATTATTGTAAATGTATTGCAAGAACTTCAATTTGTACTTTATAATGCAGATTGTTATTTTGTTATTTCAATTTTTTATTATTATTTGGTTCAGAAATGATATTGTAATTTTGTATTTATTATTTGATAATATACGAATGATTCAATAAATTTTTTTGTAAAAAACCAACTAATCTAATCCAAAAAACACTGCTTTGGTTTAGCTCCTTTCAGTTTTATTTTCTAAAAGCAATTAAACCAAATTGAATTGCACATTTTTTACTCTTACGATTGATAACTTCTACAGAAATGATATATTAACACCATGGTGTACACCTACACCGTATTTACAAATCTTAATGTATTGGTTTTGTTGTAATTTACTTAATATACAAGGGTAATTTTGTAACTTTATAAATAATGTTAGGTTAAATAATTTTCAATGTATTTTTTCCTTTCACATCTGATACCTCTCCTCTCAAAACCCACGGCCAAAATACTCTCTCAGTTCATCGTGTATCTTCAAGAAGAACCTCGTGAGTTTGTTTGGAATCGGCGACCACCACGAGTAACCGGCAACCACCGTGACAGGAAGCTCGTGATCTCTCTCATCTTCTTCGTGTATCTCTCTCGTCTCTCATCTTAAGGTTAGATGTTCTTACATGAAGTCTTCCATAAAAAAGTGCTGAATGTTAAAAAAATTCTGATTTTTCAAAACGTGTTCTGATATTCTTCTCACATGAACAACACCATCTTAATTTTTTTAAGGTCCTGAGAGTTATGTTGTTCAATTAGGGAAACTAAAAGAGGATTTAGGTTTAGGGTTTTTTCTTTTTAGGTTATTGTAATAGATTTCTCAATTCTAGTTTGTAATAGATTTCTTGTTATGTTATTGATAATGTGGTTATTTGGTTTTGGATTTTATCAGACTGAGTTCGTTATTGCTGAAACTATGGAATCACCAAGAAATCAAGATGAAATTAATGTAAGTTTTTTTATTTTTATTGGTTTTGTTATTCTGGTTAGAATGTTGGATCTTATTTATCAGTGAAAGTAATTAAGTTTTTTCATGAATTTAAGGTACGAATGAGGCATAGTTGTATTCCAGTGAATTTGAGCAGCATCAATGAAAAGTTAACACCAGGTCAACGAGCCCACATCTATGAATGAACACCATTTTTGTTCAAAGCTATCTGTTGTGAATGTATCATACACGGCTTCTTTCATTGCATACTTGATCCTTTTATATGCCCCATACCCGCTAAGCTTTTCTGGAACTTTTTTCATTATATGCCATAAACACCACCTATGACGAGTTGTAGGGAATACTAACTCAATAGCATTTTTCATAGCCTTACACTGATCAGTCACAATGCCCAAAGGTCCTTTTTCTAGCATACAACGAAGCCATGACTTGAACAGCCACACAAAAGAATCTGTGTCTTCACCCGATAGCAATCCACAACCAAGTAATGTTGATTGACCATGGTGATTCACACCCACGAATGCGGCAAAAGGCATGTCATACTTGTTAGTCAAGTATGTTGTGTCAAAAGTTACAACGTCTCCAAAGTATTCGTACGCGGCTCTGCTTCTTGCATCCGCCCAAAATACATTCCTCACATGAAAATCATCATCTAAATCTATGTCATAAAAGAAATTTGTATTCTGTTCCCGCATTTTACAAAAATAACTTATCAAAGCCTTACCATCACCTTCTTTTCCAATCGCACGACGCTCTTTGTTAATATAATTCCTCACATCTTTTTCACAAAAGGGAATATTTTCATGCCCTCCTGCATCTTTAATAAGCGATTGAAAAGTCTTGTTGATCCTTACTCCCGCATCATCATTGATTTGAATTGTTCTTCGTACATGTAAGTTCATTTTCTTGTTAGCCTTGAACAATCTTGCTTTTGTAGGACTAGTCTCATGAGAATGGTTTTCTTCAAATTGTGTAATGTACCACAAACCATCTTGTTTTAATTTAATACAAATCTTGGCAGGACAGTTTTTCGCTCTAGATGGAAGTGTCTTCAACGTGCATGAAATTTTTGAAATGTTAGACCCCTCTCTTGAACATGAAAGTATAAGGTAATGGAGCTCCCTGTCGTCTCCTTTTTTCGATGATCTAATCCTCCATCCAAACCCCTTTTTCAAAGTATACTCTTGATAATATGTTTTAACTTCCTCTAAACATGAAAAACACATTCCAATTACAGGAACCCAAAGTGATTCATCACCATCGCCGTGATCAACTTCTACATCTTCCCTTTGATTACTATCACCTTCTATCAAAATGCTTGAACTGTCCATTATGACTTAAAAACTGCACATAAATGTCAATATTATGTATAATAGAATTTTATAGCAATGTTGGTTAATATAGTTCAAAATTATGATTAATATTGTCTATAACTTGGTTAATGAACGCCCAGACATGTGGGAAGGTTTATAACATTGTTTAGCAGTAGGTACACATGGTTAATGGTGTGAGTAAAGTAAGATAATAATTTTTAGAACATGGTTAATGAATAGTCATGAATAAACATGACATCAATAACAGTAAAGAAAACTAGGTTAACATTTTGCTAAATCTAAAAACATTTGAACAATCATGAATCCAGAAACTTACTGAGTTAAATCTTCATCTTCATAACTTGATGATGTTAAATAAAGAAAAGATGAAGATGAAGATGAAATGAAAAGAAAAATTGTAGATGAAATGAAGAGATAGATTGGAAAAGAAAAGAAATGCCGTGTATCTTCATGAAGAAGAATGAGGTTAAGAGAGAGAGAATGGCAAACTTGTTATTTTTGTATTGCACCCTGGCCCACAACAGAGATGCCATGCTGCTAGTCTTTGTGTTATTATTTTTTTAATATATTTGGCATGCACTGTTCATACGGTGTAGGTGTACACCCCAGTGTAAGAATAGCAAAACTGATTAACACCATGGTGTACACCTACACCGTATTTACAAATCTTAATGTATTGGTTTTGTTGTAATTTACTTAATATACAAGGGTAATTTTGTAAATTTATAAATAATGTTAGGTTAAATGATTTTCAATGTATTTTTTCCTTTCACATCTGATACCTCTCCTCTCAAAACCCACGGCCAAAATACTCTCTCAGTTCATCGTGTATCTTCAAGAAGAACCTCGTGAGTTTGTTTGGAATCGGCGACCACCACGAGTAACCGGCAACCACCGTGACAGGAAGCTCGTGATCTCTCTCATCTTCTTCGTGTATCTCTCTCGTCTCTCATCTTAAGGTTAGATGTTCTTACATGAAGTCTTCCATAAAAAAGTTCTGAATGTTGAAAAAATTCTGATTTTTCAAAACGTGTTCTGATATTCTTCTCACATGAACAACACCATCTTAATTTTTTTAAGGTCCTGAGAGTTATGTTGTTCAATTAGGGAAACTAAAAGAGGATTTAGGTTTAGGGTTTTTTCTTTTTAGGTTATTGTAATAGATTTCTCAATTCTAGTTTGTAATAGATTTCTTGTTATGTTATTGATAATGTGGTTATTTGGTTTTGGATTTTATCAGACTGAGTTCGTTATTGCTGAAACTATGGAATCACCAAGAAATCAAGATGAAATTAATGTAAGTTTTTTTATTTTTATTGGTTTTGTTATTCTGGTTAGAATGTTGGATCTTATTTATCAATGAAAGTAATTAAGTTTTTTCATGAATTTAAGGTACGAATGAGGCATAGTTGTATTCCAGTGAATTTGAGCAGCATCAATGAAAAGTTAACACCAGGTCAACGAGCCCACATCGAATGCACCCCATTCAAATGGGCAATGAATATTTCTAACAACTTCTCAATCTCAGGTGGTTTATTATGGGAATTAGTAAGTAGGTGGGACGTACGAAGTAGGGGATTTAGGGTTAGGGATAGGATAGTTCCCTTTACTCCGGTTGATGTTTGTTTTGCGCTTGGATTATCTATTGTTGGTAAGTCCCTAGTAGTAGAAGAAAACCAAAAAAGTCAAACATTAGATCTTTTTAAAGGGGCTGAGGTAACTGTTCACAATATTCGCAAACAACTTCGTTACCAAAAGAAAAAATTAGTTAATTTTGTTAGACTTTACATATTACTCGCATTTGCGGAGTTTTACTTTCCCAAAACAGGGAATAAGGTATTTACCGGATTTATTAAACAATTAGATGATCTTGACTCACTTGATACATTTAGTTGGGGACTTGTTGTTTATAACTTTATAGTTTCTAGTTTATGTGAGTCTTCAGTTGTGTTGAAGGAGGGGAAAAACAAGGCACAAAGACATTTAAACGGGTGTGCTGCCATATTGCAGGTAAATCTTCATATATAACTCTATAGTTTCATCATGTGTTTTGAATATTAAAAGTTATGAAATTCACATCTTGTAATATTTATTATAGATTTGGGCATTCAACCACTTATCTTTGGGGAAAGTACCTACTGTTGCTACGTTTTCGTTTCCACGTGTTTTGAATTGGCCAGTTATAACTATGAAGAAGAAAAATATTGAAAAAGCGTTTGACAAAAATATGGTAAGATTTTATGTGTTCGATTTGAGGAAAATAGCTTTTTTGTTGTCGTGTGTTTGAATTGATTGTTTTTTTGCTAGATAATTGATAGAGTGGTTGCAACAGAGAAGGAACTGAATTATGACATAGTCAATGCTGCTCTGTTTGAACAAGGACAACAATTTGAGAATGTGTATGATTATCAAAGATTGGTGGATGACAATAAAGATTTCAAGGAGAGGATAGCAGCTCTTGAGGAGGAAGTGAGGATGATGAAAGAGGCAAGAGTTAACACTCCATTTCAGAATGAGGATGTTCGAGATGATCGACAGCTTATTAACTTTGTCACTGAAGATGCGGTAGAGACATCGGCTGGAGATATTGGACATAACACTTCACTTAATGATGTTGATTCCATGGTTGAAGAAAACCTGTCGAAGTCTAAATCTAACGTTGCTACAAGAATGAGGAAGAAACCAAGGAAGCGTGGAAAAAGAACTAGAATGAATTTGTAATGCATTAGTGTTGTAGAAATTTGATAAATATGTGTGGTAGAATTATGATGTGTTGTAGTGTAGAATTTGACACAATTTTAACATTTGGTACAATTATGATATGTTGTAGTTCATTTTGGATTTAAGTTGTTAATGTGTTGAATATTTTGAAGTATCATTTGGTTCCCTTTTTTGAAAGTCTGAAATTGCATTATTGTGTTATTGTGTTTATGTTCATCATTTGGTTCCCTTGTTTTGAAGTCTGAATAAGCATTAACTAAGTTTGGTTTTGAAGTTTGGTTCCAACAATGTATTAAGTAAGTCTGTGATAAAACAAGTTCCAGCAATGTATTAACCAAGTCTGGGACAAAGTATTAACCAAGTATGGGACAAAATAATTTCCCTTTTTTTTTGAAGTCTGGGTCTGCGTTAACCAAGTTTTACATTGTATTAACCAAGTTCCAGCAATGTATTAACCAAGTCTGGGACAAAGTATTAACCAAGTATGGGACAAAATAATTTCCCTTTTTTTTTGAAGTCTGGGTCTGCGTTAACCAAGTTTTACATTGTATTAACCAAGTTCCAGCAATGTATTAACCAAGTCTGGGACAATGTATTAACCAAGTTTGAGACAAAATAATTTCCCTTTTTTTGAAGTCTGGGTCTGCGTTAACCAAGTTTTACATTGTATTAACCAAGTTCCAGCAATGTATTAACCAAGTCTGGGACAATGTATTAACCAAGTTTGAGACAAAATAATTTCCCTTTTTTTGAAGTTTGGGTCTGCGTTAACCAAGTTTTACATTGTATTAACCAAGTTCCAGCAATGTATTAACCAAGTCTGGGACAATGTATTAACCAAGTTTGAGACAAAATAATTTCCCTTTTTTTGAAGTCTGGGTCTGCGTTAACCAAGTTTTACATTGTATTAACCAAGTTCCAGCAATGTATTAACCAAGTCTGGGACAGTATTAACAAAATAATTTTATATATTATATATACCAACAAAGTTTAGTACAATTGTTATAATGACAAAACTAAATTTACAATCTTGCAACATTTACACTCCAAAAGTATATTTACAATCTTGCAACATTGAACTTGAATATTCCACCTGCACCACCAAATTTAACTATTATTAGTGTATGCAATGTTTTAAACAAGATTAAAAAATATTTTAAAAACCATACCATCATGTCAAATTAACCAAAATAGAATATATATATATGCGACAGTCTTCCCAAAATACACATGCCACTAATCATGTCAAATTTGTACAAACTTGGGATGAACCCGTCAAGGGTGTTTCACATGTTGTCAAAAGATCCATGAATGACATACAAGTTCCAACCTGTACAATAACATACAAAAAATCTAAAATATGTCGTGTATAAAATCAAATACAGAATAAATTGGTATTACAATGATTACATATAATTTATCTGCAACAAGTACATATGTTTTCCGCAACTCGTACATACAAATTCCTCAAATTTAAAACACAACAAATTCCTCAAATAGTGCATACATATGCTTTCAAACATATGCTTTCAAACGTTATGTAATACAATTTTATAATGGACACACACCACAATAGTCGAATTTACACAATTTCCTCCACTAACAACCTCAAGAGATGATTCTACGCAAACATTACTTCCAAATTGATTTCCCACCATTCCAATGTTGCACTCCTACAGTTAGAGAAACAAAATATTTAGATTCCATATACATACAAATTCCTCACATGAAAATCATCATCTAAATCTATGTCATAAAAGAAATTTGTATTCTGTTCCCGCATTTTACAAAAATAACTTATCAAAGCCTTACCATCACCTTCTTTTCCAATCGCACGACGCTCTTTGTTAATATAATTCCTCACATCTTTTTCACAAAAGGGAATATTTTCATGCCCTCCTGCATCTTTAATAAGCGATTGAAAAGTCTTGTTGATCCTTACTCCTGCATCATCATTGATTTGAATTGTTCTTCGTACATGTAAGTTCATTTTCTTGTTAGCCTTGAACAATCTTGCTTTTGTAGGACTAGTCTCATGAGAATGGTTTTCTTCAAATTGTGTAATGTACCACAAACCATCTTGTTTTAATTTAATACAAATCTTGGCAGGACAGTTTTTCGCTCTAGATGGAAGTGTCTTCAACGTGCATGAAATTTTTGAAATGTTAGACCCCTCTCTTGAACATGAAAGTATAAGGTAATGGAGCTCCCCGTCGTCTCCTTTTTTCGATGATCTAATCCTCCATCCAAACCCCTTTTTCAAAGCATACTCTTGATAATATGTTTTAACTTCCTCTAAACATGAAAAACACATTCCAATTACAAGAACCCAAAGTGATTCATCACCATCGCCGTGATCAACTTCTACATCTTCCCTTTGATTACTATCACCTTCTATCAAAATGCTTGAACTGTCCATTATGACTTAAAAACTGCACATAAATGTCAATATTATGTATAATAGAATTTTATAGCAATGTTGGTTAATATAGTTCAAAATTATGATTAATATTATCTATAACTTGGTTAATGAACGCCCAGACATGTGGGAAGGTTTATAACATTGTTTAGCAGTAGGTACACATGGTTAATGGTGTGAGTAAAGTAAGATAATAATTTTTAGAACATGGTTAATGAATAGTCGTGAATAAACATGACATCAATAACAGTAAAGAAAACTAGGTTAACATTTTGCTAAATCTAAAAACATTTGAACAATCATGAATCCAGAAACTTACTGAGTTAAATCTTCATCTTCATAACTTAATGATGTTAAATAAAGAAAAGATGAAGATGAAGATGAAATGAAAAGAAAAATTGTAGATGAAATGAAGAGATAGATTGGAAAAGAAAAGAAATGTCGTGTATCTTCATGAAGAAGAATGAGGTTAAGAGAGAGAGAATGGCAAACTTGTTATTTTTGTATTGCACCCTGGCCCACAACAGAGATGCCATGCTGCTAGTCTTTGTGTTATTATTTTTTTAATATATTTGGCATGCACTGTTCATACGGTGTAGGTGTACACTCCAGTGTAAGAATAGCAAAACTGTAACTTCTAATATCAAAATTGGCCAAACCCACAGCAAATACTTCTAGTTACGAAGAGCTAACAAAAAAAAGAAATATAATCAAATTTATATTTTTAATTTCAGATAATTATTTTGAAAATAAAAATGTGATTAGACATTGATTGATGAGGTTAAAAAGTAAAATAAATAAAAACATTTTTTTCATTTGGCGCTAAATGTTCGTTCAAAAACCCACAGTTCTTCTTCCCCAAAATCCCACAATCCCTGAAAATAAATTAGGGCCAAACTTCACTCACTCGCTCGCTCACCATCTTCGTTGCTTCAAATTGAATATCACAATCCAGAATAAGCTTCCGTTCATGCCGGAGAGAGAGTTTTGGAACTATACCTCTTCCGACACCGGTGATAATTTTATGTAGAAAATCTGCTATATGTTAGTATCGTATTATTCAACTATTTAAGTTTTTTTCTTCTGTAATTGTTTGCCTTTGTGTTGCTTAGGTTCAATCAATGACTTGTTACTATTTGCTTTGGAGAATATGTATAGTTTGCATGTATTGATAGTTAAATTAAGATCATTGCAAGTTAGTTCATATAGAATTAACACGAGATTATCAAAAACAAGATCAATCTAATGTAGTTTTAGTTTCTACGGAGTATATCGTATATAAGCAAGCTATATCTCTGAAAAAGATCTGTTTGTGTCCGTGTCGGTCTGTGTCGGACATCGACACCTCTATGACACCTACACATGTGATTATGTTCAATTTATTTATTTTTTCAAATTATTACTGGTGTTGGTGTGTTATTGTCTGTGTCATGTTAGGTGTTCGTCTCTGTCTCCGTGCATATTGTATATAAGGCTTTTTATTTTCTTGTACGCTTAATGCAATAAATAAGTTGCTACGGTATTGGTAGTTGTGATGTTGATCGTGTAAGGTAATTAGCTGCCACTTTTTTGTTTGATTTAGTCATTGTTTGGATATTGTTGTTTATGATGTTCACCAAACTATAGTCTTGTTTTGGAGTCAAAAGTAGCAGATTTTATTTTTTCTAAGTATACATTTTTCTCTTGGTTAACATTTCTAGCTAGTTCAACCAATCAAATTAGATATCAGTTTAAAGCCTCAAATCTCTTGTTGAATTATTCATCAGGTTTACTTATTAATTAATAACTGTATGACTTTAACAACCTTACCAAATTGTGCTCAATTTTCATGGTAAAGGGTATCAAATTCGGTAGTTTAATGTGTACTGTGTTATTGATATTATCTAAGGTTGTAGCAAGTTATACAAGCTAACCCTTTTATTTGTTCCAGCAAGTTATAACCTCAACATGCGGTTTCAACGGTTCTATTGTGCCTCGCCATCACCAATAAAAAATTATTTTGGTATTTGAAAACATTATAGGACTTGCTTTGATTTGACGAAACGTCTCTACAATAATATTGAAGAATTTTGATAGAATTTTCTTCATTACAGTTCTGTGATTGTCTGCGTCGGTGTCTGGATTCACTCAACTCTGCAAAGATTTCGCCCTCGTCCTCGTTGCAGCACACCTTGTTCTCAACTTCTTCCCTTCGGCTATAACCTATCTCGCCCTCATTCCCTCCGGGTACATACCTCTTCTTTTACTTTCTCGCCTTCCTACTTCAATTCAAATGTGTTTCATAACCCTTAAAGTTGGAACACATAAGCCTTACAGTGGAAGAGTGCAATTAAGCAGTGACTTTTCCTTAGAGAATGTATTGTTCCTGCCGTAGAGAATGTATTGGTTTGGTTAATCTTTAAAAAGAATAACTATGTAATGTAATTAATCTTTGGATTGAATTTCAGGGCACAAGAATGTTATCATCTGTCTCGGTTTCTTCCTTGATTCATTCAACTCTGCAAAGGTATCGCCCTCCTCCTAGCTGCATTGTACCTTGTTCTCATAATTTCTTGAGTCATGGTTTATAGTTTCGGCAGGTATGTACCTCTTCGTTTACATTCTTACCTTCCTACTTCAATTCAAATGTTTTCCTTCTCCCTATACTTTAATAGGCTTTCATTTCCTTTATTGTATTATATATATCCAGAATAATTTAACACTATTAAATTTATTTTGTATACTATGATAAATATCAAGTGCTGGTAAAATACTATGGTTAATTTAGATATGTAGTTTTATTATACAATTAAAACATTCATAAACAACAACACCAAGAAAAGAAAAACGAACATATCATCGAGGAAGCAATTCGGTTATTGACAATTCATTGGCCGTCAAAGCTGTGGATGTACTAATAGACTGAGTAGAACTTGATTCATGTGGAATGCCTTTTGCATCCATTTTGCCCTGGAACAAAAACGCAGGTTCTTGCGGAGTTGGTAATTCAATGAAGTCGTTGTTAAGATACGAAACTACTGTTGCAATTGTTGGTCTTGCGTCTGGGAACTGCTGAGCACATAATAAACCAATCTGAATACATTTTCTGACTTCAGTTTCCGAATAAGTTCCTTTAATTTTTGGGTCTAATATGTTGAATGGTGTTTCATCCCTCCATTGTCTCCAAACCTGTAAAAATTTGATAAATTAATATAGGATTTGTTGCCACTTTGCATATTAATCCATCTAAGTAATTATTGAATATATATTGCTTATAAACATAAATAGAATGCAATTTTTTTATAGATAACTCACATAACTCAGGAGACTATCACCAACAATTGATTCATAAGACCTTACATTCTTCTTTCCTGTCATAATTTCTAAAACCATGACTCCAAAACTATAAACATCAGATTTCTCAGAAAATTGTCCCAGCATTGCATATTCCGGAGACATATAGCCTCTATAAAAGAACATTGATAAAAATCAACATGAGCTAGATTCAAAAAAATGAAATCAACAAAAATTGATGATTATTCAAAACTTACAATGTTCCGACGATCCTATTTGTACTTGCTTCGTCTTGGTTTAGTTCAAAAATTCTAGCAAGGCCAAAGTCTGATATTTTTGGAATCATATTTTCGTCTAGTAAAATGTTACTAGGTTTGAGGTCACGATGAATGACTTTGAGTCGAGAATGTACATGTAAGTAGATAATTCCTTGAGCAATTCCTCTTATAATATTGTAACGTTCGGGCCAAGTTAAGAACTTTGGTTGTCGAACGTCTGGAAAAATATTCAAGTGAAAAACGTTAGCATGTATATATAATAAAAGTAAGAAGTTTAACGTAATTAAGTTTCTAACCAAATAAGAAGTGATCAAGGCCCTTGTTCGGCACATATTCATAAATAAGTATTTTCTCTTGTTCTTCGAGGCAAAAACCGATGAACGTGACTAAATTTCTATGTTGAAGCTTAGCGATCAACAAAACTTCATTCTTGAACTCTTTTCCACCTTGCGTTGAGCTTTTTGAGAGTCTTTTTACGGCTATTTGTCGGCCATCCAAAAGTGTACCCTGAAAATATAGTTCATCATTTGTAAAAAAATCGAGAACTTCATAATAAATTTTACCATATTTACCCACCTTGTAAACTTCTCCAAATCCACCTTTGCCAATGAAATTTTCATTTGCAAAGTTGTTGGTTGCGGCTTCAATTACATCTAAGCCATATTGTAATGGCTCTAAAATAGCACTTTCATCACCAACTGGATAAAAATGATTAAATTGTTAAACCAAGTTTTCAAACTTTAAGCTTTGAAAGAAAAGGTTTGATAAACTGTTTCCTCTTTTACAATACATACAGTTTTCATTGAGAATAGACCTAAAACTCCTTTTTGCTTTTCTCTTTATCAAATAGAATCCAACCAAGAAGAGTATCACTGGAAGAACCGAGAACAAAACAATCAACATAATTGTTCGTCTCCGGTTTGTTCTTTTATCTGCATAGAACAATCAAACACATCTCAATTAAATGGAGCAGTAGTAATAGTTCATATAATTGCTATTTTTATTTAGTAATAACTATGTTAAGAATCTTAGACTGCTAAATATTTATAGTGCTAGTATATTATATTTTAAAGATTACTAGAATATGAGGGCTTCACCTGATGAAGAATGTGTAAGTTTTGGTTTGGTAACATTGTCATTGTCCCTATAAAATTGGAAGAATTCAAATCTCAAGTTGCAGCTCGGATATAAAACTCTTCCACCAACACTTCCCAAATAAGGCCAAGGAATTCCATTTCCAATAATATCTCCCAAACAACCCTTGCAATCATCACTTGATAAATCACGTGTACATTGACCAAGTGTATAAAGTGTTTGTAAATCATTCAATTCCAATGATTTTGTTCCAAACTTCGCATCACTATCCCCTGCCACAATTGCCACATTTGATAAGGTAGTTGATATTACAAAATTGAACAAGTTTCTCTCTTTGTTGGGACTAGAATCATTAGTAACATTCATCTCATAGTACACATGACTTTTGTCTACTAAAGAGAAGAAATTCCAATTCGAATACCGAATCATGCATTGACTATACCAAATCACTCCCTCTTGAAAAAAGTTACAATCTTTGGTTATTCTTTGTGTTGCATTTTTCACACATAGCTCACATAAGGAAAAGGGAACATCACCACGGCACATGAAGAGCCCGAAAGCTGTATTTGCCACTTGATCTTTATAAAATAGACTTTTTGTGGCATTAGAAGACAAGTAAGAAAAAAGGGTTGTCAAGTGAACTTTGAAAGTGTTGTTAAAAGTGAAGGTTTTGTTACTTGAACAATTGTGTGAAAGGTAAAAAGGGTCTTCTGAAATCATTGAATCAGGATCTGAGTTTTTTGTTTGGGGGAGTAGAATTTGTTGTGATGAAGGATTTGATGAACCAATATTTTTGATATAAAAAGGGTAAAATTCATACCTAATATTGCAACTTGGATTTAGAACTCTTCCTCCAACTCTATCTTCACAACACCCTGGAAGATCCTCTATTAATCCGCTTAGACAAATTCTACAATCATGTGGTGACAAATTTGGCGTGCATTGAACTAAACAATAAAGGGTCTGAAATTTTGATATTGTTATTTCATTTGTTGCAAATTTTTTAGCACTGTTACCAAAAGCTGCTTCATTTGCAGTTTTGTTCATTGTAGAAAACAATAAACTCATGAAAGTTTTTGTGTTTGGGACTTTGTCGGTGTTGAACAAGTTAAAACTAGGTGTTGTTCTTGCCACAGTTGAGAAGATAAAGGCAGTGGAATACCAAACCATGCATTCATTATACCAAACAATACCTTCTTTAGACAAAGAGCACTCTGAGGTAAGTCTTTGTGTTGCATTTACTATACATTGTTGACAGAGTTGAGAAGGAACATCATCTCTGCATAAGTACATGCCATAGATTGTGTCAGAAGGGTTGTTTCCATTGAATGTTGTGTTGTAGAATTGTGTGTTGGTTTTGGTTGTGGCAATGAGCGATAAGGAAGATAGAAGAGTGGTGAGGTTAATTTGGAAGGAAGTATTGGCTAATGTTCTGTTACTTGAGCAATATTGGCTTAGGAAAAAAGGGTCATCCCATGAATTTGTAGATGTGAAAGTAGTGAGAAAGATAACAAATGTGAAGATGAGAAGAATGTTACTGGAATTAGCCATGGATATGGATATGTTGAGTTTTTGAGAACACTCACTATTACCAATCTACAATGGACGTGTTAATGGGTGTGTTAATATTAGAGGGATTGGTGCAGACGAGTCAATGATGATGTAAGTCAAGATAAAATATTGAATTGATAAATTCATGTGGAAAGCTTGGCTTGGAATAAAACGAATGCTTAGTGGGCCAATCTTTGACAATATTGTATGCACACTAACAACACATTGAAGATATTTTCATTTAATGTCAATACTTGTGAGAAAATATGAATATTGGTACCCCATTAGACTAGGAAAACTAAACTTAATTTTTCTTTTTAAAATTAATGATATATAAAAATATACATGATTTTTAATCCCGTGTTGTTGAAGATTGCTACAAGACTGTTGTAGCAAATAATTACATTTGGCTTTTTGGTAAGGGTAGTAGTTTTACGCTGCATAACCCTTATTTGGTTTAGTTCAATGTTCAAACATTAGCAGACATTGATGACGAGTTTTTACTAGTTGTTTTGAGCCGTAGGATGTTTGGTCTCCTCAAAGTTATCATATCAGACAACAACACATAGTTTTCTATCAACTGGGGATACATATGAATTTCATCTCAGTAGTCCACTCATAGGCCAACTGACAAGAAAAATTAGCAAATAAGGTTATACTAAGCGTGATAAAGAACGACACCAATGACATATGGGCTGAACAACTTCACGATGTCTTGTAGTTGTATTGCACTACCCCTAATTCCACCATAAAGGAAACACCATTTACTATGGTCTATGACGCTAACGCCATGTTGCTAGTTGAAATTGACACACTTACTTGGGGGCGCACAAATTTAATGAGGAGGAAAACGAGATAGAACTTAAGTGTGCAGTTGACATGATTGACAAAACTAGAGAGGTTTTCAACATCAAGGAGTTCGCCACCAAACAAACGGTTGCTAGAAGTAATAGTTCGAAGGTATCCTCAAGGGAGATGCAAGAAGGCGACCAAGTACTCAGACAAGTGATCACACCTACCCGCCTAGGAAAGTTGCTACCTAACTAAGAAGCTGTGTATCAAATATACCAAAAGCTTTGTGGAAGATTAATTGTTAGAACCCGAAACTTAGTTTATCTTAGATACTATTACAAATAACGATTAAATGTTTCCTGCCAAATAAGGCAAAGGTTTTGGCCCACTAGTGTATTTTCTTAAATATTTTGTTTTTAAAGTATTAAAGGCAAGGTTGCACTCTTTTTCCTGTAAGGGTGGAGTTTTTAATGAGGTGTCCTGTCTTCTTGACTATTTGATTTGTGTAGTTTGGAGTTATACGTTAGACTTTTATTGAAGGATTGTTGTCGCCCTTTGAGACAATATACGACGAACCTTCATTAAAGGATCTTTGTCACCCTTTCAGGCAATATACGTAGGACCTTTATTGAAGGATTTTTGCTAGCCTTTGAGGCAATATATGTTGGATCTTCACTAAAGGATCCTTGCATCCCTTTTAGGTAATAAATGTTGAACCTTCACAAAAGGATCCTTGATGTCCTTTGAGGCAGTAGACATTGAACATTCACTAAAAGATCCTTGTCACTCTTTGAGGAAATATACGTTGAACCTTCACTGAAGGATCATTGTCGCCCTTTGAGAAAATATACGTTGGACCTTCACTGAAAGATCAACGTTCAAGAAACTCTATGCTTAAGAGACTCACCTCTAGCGAGAATCTTATGCAATAAAGGTAACATGAAACTTCGAGAAGTAATAGACAAACTACGACAAATTTAAGAAACGTGAAATAAATTGCCATAAACGATTCAAAACTCGAAGAGCGTGATTGCTAAATGAGTTTAAGCGATCGGGAATACAAATGGACAAATAAGGTTTGCGTTCCAAGCAACGTTTGAGGAACTCGCCCTTTAAAGTATTCTTTAAGGGACTCGCCCCTAACTTCACTTAAGGGACTCTTCCCAAGTATCATTGGGGGTGTTGTGATAGAATCCAAGTTTATTTTATTATTTTAATTACTTAGGATACAAGTATTGACTTGTATATAAATACATGTATGTAGTTAGATTACATAATACAATTCACTTTTCATTCTCTAAATTCTCTCAAACACTTTCATTCCTTCCTCACCTAAATACTTTAGCACTAACAAATTGGTATCTAGAGCGTCAACTAGTTTTTATTGATCTTGATTAATGATTTGCACATTGATGGTTATTTTTCTAGGGATCATGAATTGTATTTAATGCAAAGATGAATGATGGCAATGATATTTCCAATTCTCTTCTAATTCTTGATGGCAAAAATTGGAACCGTTGGAGTAAGCAAATGAAATCCTTGTTTGGTTTTCAAGAAACTCTTGAAGTGGTCACTAATGGTGCCCCTGAACTTGCTCATAACACAAATGATGCTCAGAGGATCAACCACAAGGATGCCAAGAAGAAAGATTGCAAGTTGCGTTTTGTATTCAATCTACAGTAGATGTTGAGAATTTCATTCGAATCTCTCATGCTAAATCTGCAAAGGAGGCATGGGATATTGTTGTCAAGTATTACGAAGGTGGTGAGAAGGTTAAATGTTTCAAGTTACAGGCACTATAAAGGCAACATGAGTCACTGTAGATGTGAGAAAATGAAAAGATTACAGGTTATGTATCGAAGATGAAGAATCTTGTCCATCTCATGAAAGGCTGTGGTGAAGTCCTAACTAATAAGATGATAGTTTAAAATATAATGAGAATCTTGACCTCTCACGTTGATCATGTTATCGTGGCCATTCAAGAATCCAACAATCTTGGAACCTTGAAATTAGACGATTTGGTTGGTTCGTTGGAGGCACATGAGTTAAGGATAGTTGAGAGGAAAATGGTTCAAGATTCGATACAAGCACTACATGCCCAAACATAGAAGAAACATGGAAATTATAGGTTTAAAGGCAAAGGTGACAAGTCCTTGAGCAAGAAAGGTTCTTGCCTGGATTTTCACAAGCAAAAAAATGATGAGGGGATTGCTAAATTCTCCAAAAGATGAGAAGAAACCTCGATTCATAAAGAAAAGCAAAATAAGAATAGTGTGCAAAATGTTGCAAATGTGAAAAGTGGGGTCATTTGACCAAAAGTTAATAGTATAAGAAAGGCAACAAAGGTTCTTCAAAAGAGAAGAATGTCGAATAAGCAAACTTTGCAAGTGAAGATTCATATGATTCTTAAACCATGGTGCTTATGGTTGCTGTTTTATATGAGCATGTCGACTCCAAGATCTAGTTCCTCGACACATGATGCTCGAACCACATGACTGGCCGAAGACTTTGGTTAACAGATTTGGATGAGTCAAAGAATAGCAAGGCCAAACTTACAAATAGTAGCTCATTACAAGCAAAAGGTGTAGGAAACTTAGTTATTCAAAGGAGAAATGGAGCAAAAGCCATGATCGAAGATGTATTATATGTACCTGGAACGAATTGCAACTTACTAAGTGTTAGACAATTGGTCGAAAAAAGTTTCTTTATGGTTATGAAAGATAGAGCTTTCAAATTACCCGACACTCATAATAATTTGGTCTTAAAATCTCCTATGTCGAAGAATATGACATTTAAGACCATGATCTGTTCGATTGAGGTACAATGACTGAAATAAGTTGTCGACCACAAGCATAGTTGGTTGTGGCACTTGAGGTATGACCATGTGAATTTTAGGTCACTAAATTAATTGATTACTTAAGATATGGTGGCTGGTATACCAAGTCTTATCATGTCTGACAAGATCTGTGAAGATTACTTGGTAGGGAAGCAATCCATAAAGTCTTTCACTTCGACTATGTCAATGAGGTCCTCTTGCATACTAGAAGTAGTACATTCAGATGCATGTGACCCTTTTGAGGTTCATACAATTGGTGGAAACAAATACCTTGTCTCATTTGTTGATGAGTATAATCGAAAACTTTGGATCTATGTGATTAAGCGCAAAGATTAAGTATTTGCAATCTTTAAGAGATTCAAAATACTTGTTGAAAACCATAGGAAAAGAAGATCAAGGTTCTAAGAACAAATGAAGGCAACAAATACACATCCAAGTAATTTGAGGAATTCTGTGCAAAACATGGTATTAATCATGAGGTAACTACTCTTAAACACCTCAACATAATGGAATACCAGAAAGAAGAAATAAGACCATATTGGATATGGCTATATACATGTTGAAGCAAAAGAACTTGCAAAAATTCCTATGGGATGAAGCAGTCACCACTGATGTCTATATATTGAATAAATGCCTAACTAAAAGGCTGAAGAACAAGGTTCCTGAGAAAGTGTGGAGTGGCAAGAGATCACCAATGAATCCTCTTAAGGTGTTTAGCTCTATCTGCTACAAGCATGTTTTTGTTGCAAGGAGAATAAAGCTTAATGATAAGAGTGAACCTATGATTCTGGTAGGATATCACATGACTAGAGCGTATAGGCTATTCAATCCAATCAATGGTAAGAATTTGGTGATTTGAGACATTATGATTGACGAGAACTCTGATTGGAATTGAGATTCAAATGATGCAACCAACAAACCATTGATGAGTTATAACTCTGATAAAGAAGGTAGTGAAGATGATGAGGTTCCACTTAATGACCTCCTAGAAGTTACTGAAGTTTCATTTGTTGAAGCAGAAAATCATGAGGGTGTGTCAAGCACAAGACAAAGACCTCAAAGAACCAGAGTTGTCCCAATAAGACTTCAAGATTGTGAAGTGGTTAGTGATTATAAAGTCACGCCAGATAGAGACTTGGTTCATTTTGCTTTACTTGCAAGTGTTGAACCAATCAACTATAGTAAGGTCTTATAGAATAAACAATGGAAGGCAGCTATGGTTGAAGAGTTGCAAGCCATTAAAAGAAACAACACGTGGGAGCTAGTCGAGTTACCAACCCGCACAAAATTTATTGAAGTGAAGTGGGTGTTCAAACTGAAGCACAAACCTAATGGGTCAATTGCAAGACATAAGGGAAGGTTAGTAGCACGA